AAACATTTCCAGAGACCCCTGTTTTATCTGCAATAAAACCCACAGCTCTGTTGAGACCCAGCTTCACAAGACTGCACCTGAAGGGGCAGTCAGCAACTCATACCTGTTCCTGCAGTTTCCTGGCACACAACTACACTCAGGTTTTCAGGAGCAGTCCCAGGCAGCTGCTCAGTATGACAGCACAACCATTCAGTGTGGCAGAGCCATGAGGGGCCTGTGACTTGGCCCTGGCTGAGGAAAGCTGGCCCACACTGCAGGACTCTGCTCAGCCTGGCCTCACAGTTTCCCCTACCCCTGAAGTGACATGGCCCTACTTCTGAAACTTCCCACCTGCCCTGCACTCTGGCAACCCTTACTGATCCTCCGAGTTTCTGTTTAAAAGCCATCTCTTCAGCTTCCTTCCCACAGCTCTCTCCATCACAGCCCAGACCCTCTCAGCAGGCACTCCGTATAAATAGCAATCTGTCGTGCTACTCCTCAGCTGTCATCTTCTCCTTGTCCCTCAAGTGTCAAAGGGTATGTGAAAACCGCTGCCTGTGATTCGGATGGGGGTGGCAGGAGAAGAAACTTGTACCAGGTAAAACAATCACTTTCATGAGAGTAAAACTGATATGTATTTTCACTAAATTTATTTTACAAGGTGTAGCCATCTTAGGACTAACTCTGGACTCTCTTTTTCAGAACTCTTTACTATTACTTTTCTTCCAGTTTTAAATTCATGTTCACTATTCACACTGGAAAGCATCTGCAAAGATCAGAAAGGAGACCAAAGTAAATACCATACCCGTGTTGGGGAGAAACCAGCTGGTCCCCAAACAGATGGAAGGAGATGGTGAGAAACAGGCAAAGCTGAGCCCTAGGGCTCTCTGCTTACAGGGTGCCCTGCTCAGAGTGGCAGCCGTCCTAGCCGCCTCAAAGGGGCGGGTGGCAGGGAGCAGGTGTCAATCCAGGGGCAGGGCTCAGTGGGTCCAGAGAAGACAGCCTCATTTGGTTGGCAGGAACTCTTCTCATGGATGTGTGTCCTTCTAGCCTGTGTTGTCACTAAGCTCCACAAAGCCCTATGTCTGTAATCCTGTATCACAAGTCAACACACATGATATTCCCAAGTCTTCTAAACAAAATCTTTTAAAATATCTTTCTTAGTATAGGAAATAAAAAAAAAAAATAGAAATTTAAAAGTCATACTGTGAAGAACTACACTCTATTTTTCACAAATAGGTATTCAATATTCTGGAATAAGTATTATCTGAACAATTAGTCACTGTTTTCTTATTAAGTTTATTCCAGTATTACTAAAATTAACACAGAACTTAATCTGAAAACTGCGTGGTTTCCCAGTCAAACCTTGCAGGTCCCTCAGTCATGTTAGTCTCCTGCAAGTCAGTAATGAGGCTACACAGCTGTTGTCTCCTCCTATCACAAAAGAGAAAGCTTTCTGCAATGGTAAGGATTCATTTCATTTCTATCTGAACACTGTCATCCAACAAGAATATATCAGTACTCACCAAGAAGACCCAGAAACTGCTAGCCCTTCAACAGGGGATGAGAGGAAACACCTGCCCTCACAGGGCCACCTTCTGCTGCCCTGGCTGCAGAAGGACAAAACTGTGATCTGCCACAAATGTAGAAGGAAGCCTGGGTTTTCCTCCGAGGCTTCTTTGCATGTGGGAAAATGGCCAAAGGATATAGCGGCTCAGAAGCTTTTGCCTCACAGGAGAGGAGTGGCCAACAAAGGCCAGGATGGAGGACCAGGTGCAGAACGATGAACTGGACACGAGTGCAGCTGTGCTGGCAGCATGGGTAAGGCAGGACAGAGGCTATGTGCAGCAATTCAAGCAGTACAACACCCCCGGGCCTTGTGCGACCAGCCCTTTCAGCCACAGGTCTGCCCCTCTGCCCACTGCTGGTCCACAGATAGGCAGAGACTTCCTCAGGGCTCCTCACACTGCCAGGCCTCCTGTCTGCCCATCACCTGACTCTGGCTGACCCATCTTGGAGAAAACACAACATGGGGCGGTGTCCTTTTCTTTGGCCTCTCGCCTGCACAACTGAACAAAGACTCAACTGTGACTTTCAGCTTGGCTCGTTGTTCTAACTCTCCACCTAACACCTGACAGTCCAAGACAGAGGCGAACCTCTAGACAAACAAACCAGAGGAGTGCCAGGTGGAGCCTAAGCCCTAATCCTCCCATCCTGCTAAAGGAAAGGCTGGCTCTTCTATGCCGGGACAGCAGACCAAAGAGCAGAAACCCTGAAATACTGCATGGCACATAAATCAGACTTGAGTAGTTTTAGATTAGAAAACCAGTAGTTTTAAACTGAGAGACTTTTTAAACTGGAAGAGACAGAGACTTTGATATAGGTAACTCATCTCACAACCTTCCCATCTCCAGGAAGTGACAGTACCTGAAATAAGAGTATGCACGTAACAGGCAGCGGGACTAGAATCCAGGCCTCACAAAGGTTTGATGAACATTCTACTACTAAGCTCATGTCCAGCCTAGCAATCTTCCCAGTGTAGTATCTGAGTGTGGGAGAGTAATTTTTGATTCTAATTTTTTATTTCCCTGAAAATGGACCCTGACTCAGCTGGTAAGCAAAGGGGAAAAGTAATTCTATGGCTGCTTCTTCCTTTTTCACATCTCCAAATACTGTAGACCTAGTCTGGAAATGTGGCTCATAAGCATGACTGCATTAGGAATGAGAGGAACTCTGGATGGTGAGATAGGCTCAGAGGCTCCAGATCCACCTTCTGCATGTCACAGGTGACCTCTGTGACTCAGCTGCACCTGAAAGAATACTGCCTGCAGCCTGGCCCTCACAGCACCCTGTACACCAAGCCCAGAAAAGTTCCTGAGGCATCAGTGCAGCAAGTCCTCCTCTGTCGAAACCTTCCTTTCTCTGTAATGGTGACAATAGACTATAGGCACCTCACCTATGCACACCAAGTTTCAACAATGTCTATACATGACCCTCTCCCACCTATTTCCTGGCCTACCAGCCTGAGGCTGTCAAAGCGCACACGCACCACACCTGTGTATGCTTTGAGGCTTCCATCAACACTCACACCCAGAAGACACATTTCTCCTAGTTATGACATTCCCAAGCCTGGATGTGACCCCACTTCTCCCATGATCCTCATGCTGTGTTAGCAGCCAGTAGCGACCTATCTCACTTCTCTTAAGATCTCATACATGAAGATTCATGGTATTCATAGTGGATTTTGGTATGATTAAGATTATGGATAACATTCTCCTCATATCTAACTCAGTGACTATTATTTGATACAGTTGGGAGTTTATTATAGTAAATTAATTTTCAGGATTAAAGATAGATGGCAGCAAATCAAATACTCACTCTTTAAAATAAAAAGAAAAGTTGTTCCTACTTACTCACCTTTTTAGAGAAATAGTTTTTGCCTACCAAATGTCAAGGACTGTGTTAGGGAGTGAGTACACTAGCGAGAAAATGCTCCAGAGTCAGCTAATCATGAGAAAGAGCAAAACCCTAAAGGATCTAATTCCAGTTGTGCAAAGTGCTTGAAGGAAAAGCACAGTGGGACATGTCCTGATACAGGGGACAGTGACAACAGGCAAGTTGCAAGGGCAATCCTATGAAAGTAGGACATGTGAGCCTTATTTTGAAAAGCAGCTGCAAGAGCAAAGATTCCTAGAAGAGGGAACAGTACAGGGTGTGTTAGTACACTCATCAGCTTACTACTTCCAGTTAAGAGCCAGGACCGCAAGATGTGCTTCATTCCTTTGCATGTCTTTGGTACAGTACTGATCACATGGCCTGCTCCACACCCTGTATGAATGGGGTTGGAATGTCTCCACTGAAAGGTTTCAGTGCAGCCTTTGAAACAGCTTAGGTTCCTGGGCAGTAGGAATTGCAGGTTTTAAATTAAATGACTCTATCTAATCTGTTTTTTTGAAACAGGGTTTCACTATGCAGTTCAGGCTGGCCTTGAACTCACTTTGTAGCCCAGGTTGGCCTTGAATAATCAGCTATCCTGACTCAGCCTCCCAAAGTGCTGAGATTATAGGCCTGTGCCACCATGCCAGCTCTTTATTTCTAATTAATACTAAGATGTTAAAATCCTGGTATAGAGAAAATAAATTGCAACCAAAAATTTTTTACTGTCATTACTAATACTAATTTTAAAACACTTTTCAGAATACACTAACAGCATGCAATTTAGACAGCTTTGTTATCATACTGCTACACAGTATCTGAAAGCTTCACATATTCCCTAGAGATAGGAACAGAGGCAACAATTTTAGTGTTAACATTTTATTTTAAGCAAAATATTGGCATAGATGACTCTAGCATTAGTTAAAACATTACAAGCTAAGGAATCTGACTGGCTTGTTTCACTGAAAATACCTGGTCATAACTCCAAAATGCAGTTCAGTATAAGCAAGTAAGAGGCTCATGAGATCCTGTTACTCCTAGAGTTCCAATGTTAACTCCCTATACCTCAGAGTAAAGATCTGTGTGGCTTGGAACATCCTGCCACAGATAAGAGGTGAAAGGACTCCAATCCCAAAGTTCTAGGAGCATGACTGGCAGTCAACACTCCTAGAAACAATCTAGGGCCACCTCCTAAGCTCCAGTTGACACTATGGGAAGAACAACTGAGATAAGAACCAGAACCCTTCCTGTGTCATGAGGTTTCCTGGACTCTCAGATCACTAAAAGCTGAGAAAAAGCTGGAGACCTGTTGTCCATTCTCCTGTAGCAACACTTTTTCCCCCTGCAGTGCTGATCAAGTGATACCTGTGCTTTTAAACTGCTTGTTCCCCAGGTACCACTTCCCCTGACACCTTCTCAGAGTTCATCTTTCTATTAACCCAGAAAGACAGTGGCTTCACCATCTAGCACATTTCTTGCCCCAGAAGCAGTGCTCCCCATTCCCCCACTGCAGCAGCCTTGATGGCAGCCAACTCAGTGCCCAAGGAACAGAAAGCCCAGGAGTCACTCCGCACACGCTACCCTACCTTTGCTGCAACAATGCTAAGGCCCATTCCATTCTGCTTTTTCAGGGTCACAGTGATGATTTCAGGTTCTTTCCTCAGAGGCTGGGCCTAAAGAATGAGAACAATGGCTTACTTTGCAGCTGGAATGAGAGTGCTTCCACAGGATTAGAAGTCCAGTCAATCAAGTATACTATCAAAAGCAAAGGGGAAGCATTAAAAAGACCTACTAACTCAGGGACACTTCACATAGCTGGAAAGCTCAGTATGAATACTCTTGATTAGTCTGGAAGACAAATCTGGCCATAAAAGCTGGCTTTTTAAACATTAAGAACTTGAGTTACAAAACAATATTAAACCTTTACAGGCTAGAAAAGCCATCATTAATTCAAAAATCCAATTTTTACCTTATTACTTTTCAAAATAAATTACCAGAATCCTTTGTTTCCCAAGAAGAAATTTAACACATTCATGACAGGGCCTTAACTTATATGTCTTGCTGCTGGGTAACTTGAACCAGCTGGTGGTACATGCATGCCTGTCTCACTGGCCAGTTTTTAAAAATAATTTTATTAATAAAAAAGACCAATAAAAGTGATCAGATCCATTTGCAGCATCAGTGGTACAAGTTTCCCATTTGGAGAGTCATGCGTGTACCACTGGTGCTTCAGGCTAGCAGAACCATGTTACAATGATTTCATACTGTCTCTGGGGAAGCTAACAAAAAAGGGGAAAAAGTAGCAAAGCAAGCTGTAACACAAGTGATCCGACATCTATGTCTTTTGGAAAAATGCAACAGTTATTTAAATGACAAAAACATAGCAGCTACAGGACACACACAGCTGAGCTCAAAGTATTCTGCCAAGGAAAACCTCCCTGGCTGGGTAACCAATGGGAGGACTAAGTTACAGTCCCCAGAGGCAGGTCAGATGTAAAGAAAGAAACAGTATACGGAAGTTACATGTTACACTATGTCATACCTCATTCCAACAGTCAAAGAAAATTATAAAATAAAACCAACAATACATACACACTAAAGGGAACTTAACAAAATACATGAACATGAAGGCATAAGTAGTGGAAATTACATACATGGTGTTTTAATTTAGAAAAAAAATAACCAAAGCCTGTGACAGAATATTCTGGGAGAAAATAAAATTAGATGATATCAGAATTTTAAAAAAATCAAAGTCTGAAATCAGAATAAATTAGAAAAAGGAAAAATCAGTGATTGTTCTAGGAAGGTACTTCCTTTCCTTCAAAATCTAGCTATTACAAGTTGCTGCTGTTTATAGACAGAACTGTAGACAGTGCCCAGAAGGGAAGTATGTATCTGTGCAAATCACAGTGTAAGATGTTTGCATCAAACTGGTACTAAAAATGATTTTAAAAAATATTCACAAAAACATTCAGTGTAAGCAAAGAACAAGTTTGTATTAAATCCTCATGTCACCAGGAATATATTTTGAATATATGTCACAGCTCATCTAACAATCTCAGAATACTTGCCAGTTCTGTGTTCTCACGCATAAGGTGACTTTCATAATCTGCACCTTCAAAATATATCGTCCAGGTACCTGGTGAACGTGTGTGAGGAATTAATCTGCAAAATCCTAAGGAGGAAATAAGCAAATTATAAAATGGAAAAAGCACACCACTCAAGACACATCTTCACCAAGAGAAGCAAGACAAATTATTAAGTGCTTACTATCTAATGATATTTTTCTTATACATATTCACTCTAAAAATTGAATTACCACTTAAAATCACGTATTTGTTTTGATTCAATAGAACTTCAGCACCCAAGTGAAAAATAAAATCTGGTCTCTTCCTCCTATGTCCGAAAAGAATTTTTTTCTTACTTCTCTAAAAAATTATTGAACTGCTCTGTAATTACATCTTTCCAGAACTGTTTACCCCAATGGACTATGAAGGGCCCTCACGACACCCTGAATGTCTATTTAGCCATAAAAAGGCACGCTGAGGGAAATCAGAAAATGACACAGATAGAAATGTCTGCCTGCCTCATCTGACACTGTGTTAAGGAGCTTACATTCAAGACATTACTTAACTTGTACAATTCTGTGGTCAGACATGTCTCTTCTCACTACTCTTTGTCCAAATTTCTTGTGAGTTCACAAATAATTTATGCTCTTTACAATAAAGTTTAGTATCATTTTATGCTTTAAATAATATTTTTGTTATTTTAATTAGGAACAAATGACATTTTAATTCAAAACACATTACCCTTCATTTAATCAAACCTTATTTTGTATGTCTCAGTAACTTTCTAAGAAGTTACAGCACACAGACCCTGAGTGAACCTAAAGCTGCCTCCAAAGCTGCTCTCATCCTCTTGCAGAGGGCAGCCTATGCTGATGGGGAAATGTCTGTGCTGTGTGTGACACTGCCTCCACCTCACCTACACTACTAGAGAGGCCCCGTCAACCCTAGTATTTCATCAGTCGGGTATGTGGACAGCTACTTTTGGTTACTTATGGCAAGTTTGTGGTAGAGGAAAAAGGAGACAGCAAAAATATATTTAGTTAAAATAAGGATATAAAGTAATGTTTACTCTTTTTTTGAAACAAAATTCACTGTTTCAATCCAATTTCATTAAACTATAACTATAATTTGCTTTCCCTACATTTTAGGATACCATGAATTTATCAAGATTTTGAAATATCAACTATTAAAAATTATGTTCTTAATTTTTCAAATGTCAGGGTCCTTACAAGTTCTGGACCATGGTGCCAATGGAGACTTGATTTTATGAAAGCTTAAGGAATGCCTCTCAGCCCAGGTGCAAGTCCAAGCTGGTTCTATAGTCTTCTCTCACAGCACTTCATTGTATAAAGACACAAAAGGAACTGTGGAGTACATAGTAGTTCTTTAATCAGCTTACAAAGAACAGAGAGCGAAGAATTAAGAACACTGATGTCATAAAACACCCAACTCTTTATAAGTCTTTTAAAGGCATCTGTGCACTAGGCTGTGTGTATTATAATCATCTAACACATATGAAGTCATGTAGTGATGCCAAGATCATGATGAAATTACCACCTCTGTCCTAAAATTATTCATGCAAGACAACCTGAGGGGAAGTTATGAAGAAAACTTAATCAAGACCTCATTATTTCCACATTTGCAAGTTTTGCTCCATAGTACATATGACAAAAGTGGCACTTGGTGCACATTATAAATGATATACATTTGCAAAGTATTAGTAAAGTAAGTCTCCCTGCTTGCTTACTGAAAGGCCTTAAAGAGTTACTGAGCATTTAGCAACACAGATGTGGAGAGGGTGAGGAGGTCCAACCAAGCACACTCTGGAAGCACACCCTCAACTACGAGAAGGGAGAGCTCAGCCTACCTGCACACCAGCAGCCTGAGGACTACCTTCATGCTTAGTTCTGCAGGGAGAGACTCTGGAAGCTTGACCCCTTTCAAGTGCAGGCCAACAGTTCAACAACAGAGGTAAACAACACCGAGAACACCTCACAGGAAAAGCATGCCATGCATCAGGATTGGGACTAAAGTTTTCCAGATGAGTGGTGGGGGGGTCTGGTCAGAATTTAAGAAAACACTAATGGGGAGGGGGCAGCTCCATAGCAGCAGCTAAGAGCGGACATGGGTGCAGCAGAGATACAGAATCACAGCTCCTCACTGACAAACAGCACCTTCATTCTAGGTTGGGGAAGGGGTGGCAGCATGCTCAACAGTTTATTTCCATACTACAAGTCACAGAAAGAGTTCTTAGCAGGGCACAGAGCCATAAATAACCCTAATGAGCCGATGGCAGTAGAGGCACAAAGCAGTCGGGTGAGGGGACTGTCAGGAGATGGTGGCGGGGCTGAGTGGGGTAAATCTGGGAAGTAGAAGAGCTGGATGTGGTATCTGCAGTGCTGCTATGTGGGACACATAGAAAGGTACCTCTAAGCAGTCTATGGCAGCTGAGTACCTGCCACTGAAGAACCAGTGTTCACAGGCTGCTGGCAGTACACTCCAGCAAGGTCACACTGCAGTCTACCCCACCTTCCTTTCTACCTGGGTGCAGTCTCCTTTACTGGTATCTACTTCCCTTTCTTAATCCTTCATATCCTAAAGGGCATCACCTCTGCTGCTCCCACCCTTTTTTCTCTGAGGATGGTCCAGAAAGCTGAGCAACATGTTTCAAGAGAAGTCACCTCTCTAAGATGAATTTTTAAAAAACTGTCAAAAACCTTGAGATACTTTTGAAGATATAAAAATGTATTTATTGTGGTAAGTGAAATACTGACTGAAGATGAAAATCATACTCATTAAATTCAACTGCCTATGGACAGAACAACTTAACTTCACTCTTATTTAAACAGAACCCTACATTTTGAATCTATTCTTCTATTCAGTTGAGATAGCCCCGCAGTATAAAAAAATACCAAAGCAGAATTAAAATGTGGTCTAATTCAAGAGCTTATACATTAGGAATAATGGTGGTATTTTCAATCCAGATACACCAGGAAGACTATGCAGCAAAAGTCACAGTGGTAGATAAATGTCTGAGGTGCATGCTACCTTAGTTGCGCTGTTAGCCCTTCCATAAAAAAGGGCAGTGCATGAGAGCACGCCAGCCAGGCAGCTCAGCAATAGCAGCAGCAGCAGCAGCAGCACCAGCAGCACACTGGATACTCAGAGCTCCTGTCCCATGGGCAGCCCTTCCAATCCTCAGCAATCTCTTGGCCCATTTCAAAGATGAGAAATTGAGGCAAGAAGTAATCTGCTCATGCAGCTTATCTAGCAGGGCTGGTTGGAAACTCAGTCTATGCCATTTTCCATTGGTCTGCTGGCTTGCCACATGCACACAAAGGTCCCAGCTTGGTCTTAGGGGGTAATAAGATTTACTAGGCTCATGGAATGCCAGGAAAGAGGAGTAGCAGTTAAAAGCCGAGGTAGGGCCGGGGATAAAGCTCAGCGGCACAGTGCCCTGCTTGGCAAGGGTAAGGTCCTGAGTTTGATTCCTGGTACCAGAAAAGAAAAAAAAGCCTAAAAAAAGAGTCCAGGCAGAAGATTCCACCAGGACACCCAGTAGGCAAAGCAGGTACTTACCACAGGGCCCCAACACACCCAAAGGCTGTGTCTAGACCTGTCTGAACCTACGTAATAGGGAAATGCTTCTCAAGTCATGGGAACAGACTATCGAAAAGACACATGTGCACTCCCATTGAGTGGGCTGCTAGAGAGACAGCAATTGAAAGGCTGACTTCAACCTGGGCCACAGCTTAGATTCAGGTGTGGTCAAAAGCACTTACCTCTCTGGCACAGAGGGTCTAAAAACTCTTGTAAACCATTTGGAATGTTTCTGACGACATCACAGGAATAGCCATCTTCTGGCAAAAGGAAAGGCAGCTGCAGGTCAGGATCTTCCTCCAGCTGCACATCCCTCCCATCACTGCGGGCTAGCTCATCAGCTGTGTTTTCAGCAACAGCCACCACATTTTCTATAAGATCCTGTTGAAACATAAGCACTAAGTCATGAAGATGCGCTTGACTGGAGCATGTATTCAGCACTATTCAAACTATTCTACATCACTATAGCATACCTAAGACTTGCAAAGATGCAGACTTGCCTCCACTGTGGTGGAGGCAAACTGATCAAGACACTCAGAACACACATGCAAGGTGAACATGTTTTAAATATGAACCAAGACAGTAATTATTAATTCCCAATTACTTATAGCTTCACATAAAAACTGTTTAATCATGAGCAATGTGGAAATTTTTCCCTTTTCCAAAATAGTCATTTCTTTGTATAATTCTTTAACATTTTTATGGTTCAGTTATTAATCATTATATTTTTGTTTTAGTTGACAAAGGGAAAAATATAAAAAACTATGACAAAATATCTGCAGAATGTTTCTTCCACTTTGGAAACATATTAACAGGCAGAAGGTATTTCTGATTATGGGCTTATGGGTGATTTCTACTTGAAAACACATTACTGATATGTGCTACCTATATAGAAAAGTTCAAAATCCTAACTCAGTGAAATGAAGATACCAGCTCAACCCACACGTCCACCTCAGTCCATGAATGGAACACACTGGCCACCAGAAGCATCCCCCATTCCACACTACCACTCTTACTTTCCATGAAGAGAGCAGTATCTGGGATTCTAACACCACAGCCTATTCTATCTGATCTTAAAATTCATACAGACATACATACTTTGGATATGGCTTCTCTTGTGCTAATTATGTCATAATACTCATCAAACTATATAACTACAATCCATTCTTTTTGACTGTAGTTTAGTATTCCTTTATATGACTGACATGATTTATGGACCTACTGTACTGCTGACAAGATGACTTCCAGTTGAGGAAATCTGTGCCTGTCAGCTTATGTAGACCTCAGGACGTATGCCTGGCTCTTATGGTAGATACCTGCAGCATGTCTCACAGCACAAACGGCCAATGGCAGCAGATACTACGGAATCAGTTTCTCACCCTCCATTCCTGTCAGTGTGCAGGAGACACACTCAAACTCTAGGCTCTCTTCTGGCTAAGACTGGATTTTAACTATCAGATACCTCTGTACAACATTTGTGGCCATACAGTGGAGGCTCACGTGTTGCTGCTTTGGATGGTAAAGTGCAGACAGGGCAGTGCTGTAGGAAAAGCTTTGTGGCTGTGGCAGCAGCTTTGATCCTGTGGTACTTACAGGTGGCAGACACCTGAACTCAATAGTTCACGGACAACCTCCTAATCTCCTGCCCTCTGGTTCTTTCACTGATTTCTCGAAAAGCAACTACTTAGTTTAAATCATTTGCTAATTAAAATTGTTTGTGTAGTTTCTGTCCCTCTCACTGAACTCCATCTCAGATATTAACAGCAAAATGATCTCATGATTTTAAATAAGTTAACCTACTAAAACAAGTTGTTAAATAAGTTTTCCTTTTTTTAATAAATCAACATGTTCCTGTCCAAACACGCCTGCACTCTGTCGTAATATAGTAACATCCACTTACTGTTGGGATAAAAGGCTCATCAGGTGCACAGTGATAATTTTGCAATAAGGCTTGAAGTTGCAAAGAATTTAACTTGAAACAGGTGCTGTTTATATTTGGAATGTCTTCAGGTGCATACTTATCCATGGTAAGCAGAGTGGTTGCCTTTTAAAATAATAAACGATACAAAATATTTAAAAGTACAGTACTGCACAAATATCCTTTGGGCTAGGGTTGTAACTCAGTGGTACAGCACATGCTTAGCATGCACAATGCCAAAAAAGTCCTTTATATAATATGTTTAAAGCTAACAACTTGCTAATTGTATGTGGACATGAAGGATATTTATAAAGACACACACTTCCGGCCAGGGATACAGCTCAGTGGCACAGTGCCTGCCTGGCAAGCTCAAGGCCCTGAGTTCAATTCCCGGTGCACACACACTTCTATTAGTATTAACATTAAACTAAATATTGATCTACAAAAGCTTTTACATATCTTTTAATTTCACTACTTAATTAGATTAACTATTAATGTTCATAATGCATTTTAAAAATTCCCTTTGAAAGTTTACACACTTACATATCATGATAACCAATTACAGGAATATAATAACTTCTTTATAATGACATTTTCTAACTACCGATCCAGCCTATGTACCAAATCTCTTCAAAAGAAATAAAGAAATCAAAAACAGGGGATGGGGATTTAGCCTAGCAGCACAGCGCCTGCCTGGCAAGCACAACCTCGAGTTTGATCCCTGGTACCAAAAAAAAACCAAAAAAAAAAAAGCAATCAAGAACAAATTTTAAATAAATTAAAATAACAAAAAAAATTGTCCTAGGGTTTGAAGCTACAAATAACTCATTTCCTGAATTCAGAACATAATCTCCTAGTCTTGGTTATCTCAAAAATTCTCTCAGAACTGGTTAAGACATCAGGATATGATTTGGCTTGTATTCATTGTTCATCTTTAAACTGGTATTTACCTTTTAGTATGGAGCTTTCTGAAATATGCCTTACTGATCGCAATAAAAAAAAGGACCCTTTAAGGATATTTATACGCTACTGGTTACCTACCTATTAAGGTTGAACTGTGTCCTTCAAAATTCATATGTTGGAGGATTAACTGCCAGGACCTCAGAAAGTACCTCATTTAGATGTGGTCTTTACAGAGGTAGTCAGGTTGAGATGAGCTTAGTCAAGTATTGCGAGTATGCTTACACAAGGTGGACACTGGGATAGACATGACAAAGAGACTGACATGGAAAGATGAAGGCAGAGACCAGGATAATGTGTCTACAGGCCAAGAAATGCAGAAGTCTATCTGTGAGCTCCCAGAAGCTGGGGGTAGAGACTTGGAACAAATTTTCCTTCATGGTCCTCAGAAAGAACCAGCTCTTCCAACACCTTGATTTCAACGGCTGGCCTCCAGAACTGGGAGAATAAGCCACTGAGTTTGCAGTGCTATTATGGTGGCCCGGGTACTAACACATCATGCTTTCACTATCTGCACATGGGAAAATCCCTAAAAGAGGATCCTGAGGCTTTGTTGTATCAAAATTCATGTCCGTCATAAAATCTGATACATTCACCATAAAGTACATTACCAGTAGAGTACGAATCATGTACACAAACCTGTACGATTCTGCTCAGGTGACAATCAGCTGCCAGCTCTAGCCCTTGCTTCTCTGCCCAAGCTTCAATATGTCCCAACTGCTGGCGGATAATTGCTCCCCAGTAGTGGGAACACAGCCCCGAATCTGGGTCAGTCACCAATCTGTTGAACAGCCACATATTGATAAAGTGGAACAGCTGTGAGAAAAGCTGGATGGTCAAAGCAGCATTGACTCTGCAGCGCCGCAGCAAAGACATGGCTCCCGTGAGTGTGTGCAGCACATCATCTGTCAGGACACAGACGGAAAGACAGGGGCCACATATCATCCAAGAACCTTCTGTGTTATATCAAATTTGATAATGGAAATTATGGTAATAACTGCTATGCAATCACTTCAAAATGTCAATGTCTTTCAGACAGGAATCAGTGACATGGTCTTAAACTATAAAGAGTCATTAACTAGCCACATTTTCATAAGTTCATCCAAAAGACTTTTTTAAAAGTATGATATGTATGACATACCAAAACTGAGAACTGTTTATAAACAGATAGAAGGCAGCTAAAAATTACTATTTTTAAGACTACCAAATCCAACAAGACTTATTTCTTTAAAAAATACATACCTTATATATATTAAACATTAAGATGAAGTTAAATATGAAGGAAAAGAAGGGAGGGGAACAAAGAATATCCTAACCTATTTTCGGTCTTTGCAGACTGTTCTCTTCAGGGTCATCCAGAAAGGCTGGCATATAATTATTAAGCTCTGATTGAAGACAATGAACCAAGTATCTGAAAAAAATGTAAACAATTTTAACAATTTCGGCACAACACATTGCTATTATAGACATGTTATCATGTCAAACAATCTGTATTCTTTAGAAATATTTCTTATTTGTAAAAAAGTTGTCATCTCAGGATCTTTAAAACATAGCTCACTGAATTCAATACTCTTAAAACACATTTTACTTATGGTTCTTGGTATATCTTCAGTTAAGGTAAGTAAAAGTTTAGGGCTGGGGATATAGTTCAGCGGCACAAGCGCCTGCCTGGCAAGTGCAAGGTCCTGAGTTTGATTCCTGGTACCAAAAATACATAAATAAATACTTAATTAGTTTTGAAAACTATCCAAGAAAATGTATGATTTAACTCTACAGAACAGTGTCATCTTTAAACATGTGTTCCTTACTTAAACGCCATCTGAACTAAATGAGCTAAGACATCTTGGGCATCTAAAGTGATCCGACTTAGGTCTCGATCTTGCTTGATGAAGTTGAGAAGTTCAGATGCATTTGCCATCCAGAAGGCCAGGGCCCCTGCAATATTCTTTTGTTTCTGTGGACAGAACACATTTCCATAAGCAACAAAAGATGAATTAAAATAATAAAAACAAACAGGAATGCTCCTGAAAAGCTGCCAAAGATAAACCAGTACATTCCCATCTTCACCCAGGTATTTACCACAGATACCAGATACTTGCAAAGGAATTTGAGCAAGCACAGCGCAGTGGGAAGCAACAACCACTGCAGCTGCTTTGGAGGTTTTACAGACAGGTGGATCTAATTTGCTCCAATTAATGGAATGAGTGGGAAAATGGAGAGTTCAAATAATACCGAATTGCAGATTATGCATTATCTGGTAATCTGTGCAGTATACACACATGTATTCATGGTTACCCACAGCCACCCTGATACTTGTAGTCACTGGCTAGGACACCATGCAACTCAGTATCAAATACTGATCTATTGTGTCCTCTCCCGACCACATGTGCAGGCCAGGCAACCTCAGATGAGATCCAAAGAATAGGAACCAAGGATAAATAATAAAGAGAAGAAACAGAACTTTTGTCATTTCATATCCACACTGAAGTGCATTAAGCAGAAATTATGAAATGCTGATAAAAGTTGCACAGTCAAAAAGGATTTTAGTACTGCATGTTTCAGTTGCTGAATGAGTGTTATGAACTGTTCAGTCCAGTTGTTGTAGTACCGTATTTGACATGAAAGCAGCATGAGAAACTCAGCTAAGCCAACACAGCTAGGATCAGCTCCCAGCAGTATGTCCTACCTGATCAACCTGGTCTACTTCCTGGAGAAAAACAGACGAGGGGAAATCAAGCAGAACGAGAGAAAGAAACTTGTAAACAATCATGATAGTTTAAAAAAAATCAAAACACTAATATGAAGGTACGACATGAAGGTACAACACTTAGTTATGCTATTCCTATATTATATTTTCATTTACTGGTTCTGAAGCAGCTTTGGAAGTACATGACATAAAGGTTTATTTTTACGCTCTTAACATTGGCACAAGTGAATTTTATAGAATTTATAAAGATGTCACAATAAAACACACATGAACATACTGATCTTAAAGTATATGCAAAGGAAGGACTTCTAAATGTCTTTTTAATGATACCAAGTGCTTACTACTTAAAGGTACGCAAGGTAGGAGTCCATTCCCCTGAGTTAATTAGAATGAGAAAGAAGACCAGTAAAAACCTCAAAATAAAAGCTGAAAATTTACAAATATATAAGGAACTCACACCTAAAGAGAATAACTTAGTTTTTTGAAACTAGAATTTAAATTATTTGCTGCCACAGTTTTTTGAGACTTCTCTAGTTACATAAAAACCCTAAATTTCAAGTTTAAAGGACTTGTCCTAGTGGTGGTGACTGCCCTGATCAGCAGACACCAGCAAGGAAAGTCTCAAGGCAGTGTGGTGGTGGGAATTTCCCAGTCTGAAGATGGGCTTACAAGTGCAAATGTGATGGGAGACAGACAATGGCTGTGGAGTGACAACTGAAAGGAAATTCATGCTTGTTCATAAAACAATGATACCAGACTAACAAAAAGGTATTCAAATAAAATGCCTTGGGGCTGGGGATCTAGCTCAGCGGCACAGCGCCTGACTGGCAAGCAAGAGGTCGTGAGTTCGATTCCCGGTACCAGAAAAAAAAACATCAAATAAAATGCCTTTCCTTTTCTTACTTTGAGTAAAGCAGTCATAACCCCACCAAACTCTTATAATGTGACTCACTCAAATGTGAAAATAAGCATGTTTTGAAAATGTTGACTTTTTAAACAATTGTGAGGGAATTAAAAAAAAACTTTAGCTTCCCTCAAATGATCCTGGAAGGTGAAACACAACCAAGCCATTTAATCGTATTATAACATTACTAGAGTTTTATAGATGAGTAAGAGCACTCGCAAAAGTACTAGGAAAACTTTAAAACACTTGTAAATTTAGTTTTAAGGACGTTAAAGACTTATCTTCATATACAAAAAACTGCTATGTCAACTTTATCAAATGTAGATCAACAGAGTACTTAAAGGAATGAAATCACTCCACCAAAACAATACTATTTCCCCAAATTTTCAAAATAGGCTTAGAAAAGATTTATTCCTAAGTGAGAAATTCATCATGATGTCCATCATTCCTATAGACAGACAGACAGATACTGTCAAGAGAAAAACAATTACTACTGACATCACAGTGGGCTCATTAGAAAGGAGCAAGTGTTTTCTACAACTATGAAAAAATTCTAAGAGAGTGGTTTATCAGGAACTGAGTGAAGGGAAGATGAGTTTTACTTCAGAGCAATGAAAATGTTTTTGGAGGTAGTGGTTGTGCAACATTGTGAATGCACTGAACCCTGTTCACATCAAAAATCCAGAATGTTACATGAATTTAACTTCAATAAGTTATTATGTAAATTCTAAGAAAATTCACAACAGTCTCAACACTTTCTCAAAACTACTACTATATTTTCTTCTCATGATCATTATGCCAGCAAATATAGTTTATTTTTACTTACTCTAAAGTTTATAACAAAGAAAAAGATTAACTTCCAACTTCACAGCTATATATTTTTAAAAAATTCTTTATATATACAACTTTTTACTTTAGGGGAAAAAAAAAATCTTAAAACAGTCAAACATGTAACCAGGTCAGCTGTGCTGCAGCATCCCCTTCACCGCTCTAAACTAATGATAAACATAGGCCTGATGGGATTCTAGGCTGGAGCTTACCTGAATGACCCCTTCCATCATGCTCACCATCTTGTTGACAACAGCAATGACCTTGTGTGTGCGCTCTGTAGGACTGAGGTCAGGTCTGTGCTGGCTGGACAATACATACCGACATGCCATGTATAACACATATGTAGGGGACAACTTAAAATGAACTGTAGAGCTATTTGTGTAATTGATAATGGCAGATAAAAATGAATCTTCAGCTGTAAAAAGATTTTAGAAAAGAAAAAAAAAAAAAACCACATTGAAGTCATACGGAGAAAAATGGAACAAGAAATAATTCAGTTACAACAGATTCTGAAATTACTTACAACTTTCCCTGAATTCAATGCTTGCAGGCAGTATCAGCTCAGGCCCGGCAGCATCCTGAGTTCTAAAGAAAGAAAGTTGACATTGCGTATAATAAGGTCATGCAGCTAACAATATCACTGCCAAGCTGTGTAGAGCTCTGCAACAATTTTTTAATTTCTCCACACAGAGTTTTCAAATATAAACAGTAAGTACCAAATCCCTTGCCTCATATGTTACCCAGTGAAACATCTAGATGAATGAACCGGGATTACTCTTTTCATAACTCCCACAGAAGGTTAGATCCTTAAAGTACAGGCCTCCATCCTGAGAGCAGAACTGATGCACAATTCTGGATACTAATGAGTATCTTGTGTCTAGGACAGGTATCAAGCTGTCCTGCAGCTGCTACAGCCATGGCTCAGGTAACAGTGAAAGACACACCACTGATACACACCAAGAAAAGCTAAGCCATGGTGCATTGGAAACTGAGTCCTTATACTGAGAAAAAAAGCATTTTTCAAGGAGCTGGACAGCATCTCTCTTTGTCTACTGACACAAAGTTGGACAAGATGCCCCCTAAGATTTCCTTCAGTCATTTAGTATTATCCTTTTCCAATGCTCAGTGATGCATGTCTTAAAAAAGAGATTCTACTCACTTGTTTATTGGCCTGGTCATATCAATTCCAAGTATCTTTCATCATTTATCCTAACACTACAAAAATAAGAAAGTGGCAAAAAGTACAAATCAAAAGGAACTATAATTTGGGTCATTTCTAAGAACTAGCATTGTGCTAATGTTTATATATATCTAGGTACTCAGCATCAAATGAGTTCAAAAGTTAGGGATATTTCTGTTTCTCAAGAAAGTTCTTAAAATAGTGGATCCTCACCCAATGGCAAGGTATAAGGATGAGCACTGTTTTGTGAAGTTTCTCTTCCAGTTATAAAAGTGTACATTTGTACATGTGTGTCCACCCAGATGAAAACAATCTTGTGTTGTAACAATAGTCAAAAATTTAAAAGCCACTGCTAAACACCAACCTTTTAAAAACATGTAAGATAAAGAATTAAAAATCCAGTTTAGATTGCCTTAATGGATTTATACTTTTCTCAATGGATACTGTTCTGTTTAAATACCTTTCCACTTAGAGAAGATGAGAGCCATTGAAGAATTACTCTACATTAGTTTGCTACTAGCTATATTTTATGTATAATGTTTACCAAAAGCAAAGCAATTAGCTTCATTAATATTTCAATATCTTTATCATTTTAAACTTTAAAACAAGATGATCAGAAAAAATTCTCAAAAACTGTTTTTCAAAAAATAAAAACAAAAGAAACGTGTTCTGCCCTTTTGCAAACTTGACTGAACACTTAGTGGAGATTACAACAACTTACACTGAAATGAAAATATCCACTAAGTTAAATACTGATCTAAAAACCAAACTCAGGTTAGTAGGTGTTCAAACATCATTTGTATCTGTTGAGATGGAAGGTCAACAGACTTGTCAGAAGCAAAATTACTAGTGATTGAAAGCCAGTCAATCGTTACAGTGATGCTTCAGTTGAGAAACTGTAAAAAGGTGGAAATGATCTGCCAGATATAAATACCTGCAATCACTGGTTCACTCACTGAACATGGTACTAGAACTAATGAGAGACTTTCTCCATAAGCGAGAAAGAATGATTCAGGGTAGACTGTTAGTAGTTTACAGACTGGCTAGTTGACATAATTCTTGTCCAATAGCAAACAATATTCCTCCCTCCATCCTCATATTCTCCAAGCATCAAAAGATGAGTAAAGAAAAAGAATATAATCTGAGTTCATACAAATTATTATGATCATCAAAACAAAACAAAAATATTCCTTTTGTCAAATTACGGCCTTCAAAATTTATTTTTCATTTACGATTTAATGATTTGTATTTAATTCGTTTACAAAAATAAAGATGCTCTTATAAATGATAGTTTAAATGTTCAATTATTTTAATATATCTCTTATTGTTATATTTTTAGATACCTAAAGTAACAGCTAAGAAGTTATCTTCAATTAAATGTCCTATAAAGTGAATCTGGATAACTTTAACCAATTATTTGCTTAATTGTTTTAATAAGTCTGGCAAAAATAAGGGACTTAAACTGTAATTGGTAAAAGAAAAAAAACACAATGACCATTTATAGTCACTCCAATCATTCAAAAAGAATTTTTCATATATAATTAGTATCTTGTATTTACTAAAGTGGCTCAAATTTTATGACTATTCAATTACAGCACTGTTTGGTCCACATCCCACATGTGAAAATGGGAAGAAAAGTTCATATACTTCATCCTGTCTTAACAACAATGTCGCATATTTATAGCTCAAGCAAAACCTGTGCCAAGTCTTTGTAAAACAAACTATTCTTACTTTACAAAACATTTAACTAAAATGTTTTGTATAGAAAAAAAATCACTTTCTGGCATAAGTATATTACAACCCTTTTCCCTTTCCCATTTGGATTCATGCACTCCTTTAAATATCTGAGCTGAGAACTATGACAGTATTTCTCAATCACTTTATAAACAGGGGTACTTGTTATAACAGTGATTTTCCATTCTGGAAATCTCACGCTATACCACCAAAACCAAGTACAAAGTAAACTGCTTTTTATGACACCTAATAAAATTCACATAGCCAACAAAATATTGCATAACAGCCAAAAATTTGTAATAAAAATTAAAACCTGGCATTCCCTGATGAATCTATGTATTTAGTAACAGTGAGAAGATAGTAAAAGCTTGCAGTATACAGTGCCCTCTGCTGGATGAGGAGAAATTACAACTGCCTCTCCATGGCCTGTAGCTGAACAAACAGGTAACACTAGGCATGTCACCTGCATCCCCAGTTATGGGATGTCTCACAGGTAACAGCCTGAAAGGCATCTTCCAACACCTGAAGTGGACATACAGGGTAATATTCCCAGTTCCACACTAATTACATTTTTTAAGTCTCCCCTTACTCCACTGCACTCCCTTCTTCCTTTTTAAATACTAAGGACTGAACCTGGAACTTTATACTGAGCTACATCCCCAGCCCTTTTTTTATTTTGAGACAGGGTTTCATTTAGCTGTGAACTTGTGATCCTCTTGCTTCAGCCTCCCAGAGTGCTGACATTATAGAACAGCAACTATAGGTCCGGCTGTGACATAGTGCTTCTCTACTTCTGTCTGAGTCCATTTAGGGCTCCAGAACAGAAGCACCTGGAACCCATCACCTGCTGCTGAACTACCATGTTTAAAGCACTAAACTACTTTTTAACACTGAAACAATCTGAGGTCTCAAGAACATACAAAATGCTAATTTATTATGGTAATACATATTAACGAAATAAAAAGGGAACTATTTTGCCCTAAAAAACTATCCAAGAACAATGCCAGAAGACAAAAACAGATGTTCAGCCTTCACTTGTCTTAAAAGAGAGACAGGAGATACTACATCAGGGCATGATGTCAAAATGCAGCCCACCAAAATGCTGAGAAACTCCAGTGCGGAGTCATTTTGGCTGTATTTTTAAATATGTAAGAATTTCTTCTAAAAACTGGTGAAGTAACTTCTTTTTTTGTAAATATAAATCAAATATTAAGATTCCATAAAAACCCCCTTTTTCAGGTGTTGTTACAAAGTAGCCAGTTTGGAAGGACAATATTGTAACTCCGTGTGTCACTTTCATCAACCTGGTAACAAACACTGTGACAAACAAGTGAGGGGCATAATTACTTTTTTTTTTTTTTTTAAATTTTAGAAATAAAAGGAGGAAAATACTAACAGACAGACAACATTTTACAAAATAGCAAAGGATAAGTACAGACATTACAGAGTTACAAACAGAGTGGTAGGGAATTAACAATGCTTGTTGTATTACATATTGATATCTTCAAAGTAGTTTCTCATGAAAACAGATACAGACATACAAAGCTGATCAACCAAGGACTCATTGACAGTTTTTTTCAGCAAGGAAATACACGACAGTAGAACAGCCGTGTTAACTATCCTGCATATACATACATACAAACTTTCTCCTTCTTTCCCTTCTCTTTTGAGGGGCATAATTACTGATAAAGCATTTGTTTTTTATTTAACTCAGTCACATGGAAAGGAAATACTCTTAAAGATATTATTATGAACATTCCAAAAATGCCAGCTAAACCTCTACAAATTTAGTAATCTTGGCAACAAAGCCCTCTTTGGAATCCTCTCACATTTACATCTGAAACATTCTCTACCTGCTTTCTTGCCTGCGATAGTCCTGCTGCTGATCCACACGGATCATTGGCTTCACCATCCCTCGCTCAGCCGTGCTGGAGGCAGATGACACCCTATCGCTGTCCAGTCTAGTGGTACTCTGTGTGGGGGAAACAATACATTAGGATGCCAAACAAACTTATACTGGTGCGGCAGACAGACATCTGACGCGGGCCGCCACACAGGGAAGGTGAGAGCAAGACCAGACACAGCTGCAGCCCTACTGAAGATGCTGTGTCCATAGCAACATGTGCAAAACCACATGGCATTAACAAAAATAACATAAAATACAGTCACTCTTATTCTCAAAAAACTACGAGTTGGCTATAAAACACAGGCAAACAAAAATAATACAAGCACAATGATTTTTCAAAAAGTAGAATACAATAGCGATTTTACTCCCAAAAGTTGTTCTAAAGTCAAGTGTCTTGAAGTCAGAAGTCAGGAGAGTATGTACAATGAAGATTTGGGGGTCTTTTATTTAATCAGTCTTAGGAATCCCACTTTTGATAGTTTATTAACCTAATAAATTCAGTCCACAAACTGGTTTACTGGCTGGCCATTATCAACAAAAACGAAAAACAAATACATAGTGACCCAACAGAATATATTTAGTACTTCTAAAGTACACATTCTAAATAATTTATTATACAGGCAAAAAGGATATTACCTATATTAAGAAAACCATTAAAACATATTAAAATTTTCTATGTATTAAAATTCTCCTAGCAAAATTTTGTCTAAGAAACTAAATAAAAGCCATCTATATTGCTTACCCAAAAATTAACAATGAGTTTTATGTGTTTTTTTCTCATACATTCCATACATGAGGTTATACAACTAATTTTCAATGAATATTCTTTTGCATGTTATAAGTATCATACGTTACTTATTATATTATAGAATTTTAGAAGGCATTACATTTTATTGATTATTCATGACAGTTCATCAAGCCAATGCTTTATTATGCTATTTAAAATGTTATCGGCGTAGAGTGCTGTGACGTCAATTCTTAACATATACATATATATACACACGTATATATTCATGTGCAACAATTAGATAAAATACACTCAGACATATAAAACTGTATGGTCAATGGGCAGCATTACTATTTAGACTACTAGAAACACTTATGGCTAGACAGTGCAATGAATAAATCAGGTATGTTTATATGCTTGTATATTATAAAATATTTCACTTTTAAGTGACTTTTAAAAAGTGAGAAAATGCTCACAAAATAACAATTAAAAGAAGGAGGACAGACATGTAAAGAGATCTGTCCAGCTACATGGACAAACTGAATGTCAATGAATACGAGTCCAAACGTGTGTGCAGCAACACAGCTGTGTGAACATATGTCAGTGAACAGCATGATAGAAAGTTGTATATGGACCGAGAGACTGATCCAGTTGTGTGGGTAAGTGTAAGTGATCAAAAGCCTGACAGAAACAAGTCGACAGAAAATAAAGAGATCTAGGCAGCTATGTGACGTGCCAGTGAAGAGAATCAGGACAGAAATGGTGCACAAAGAGAGATCTATCTAGGATGTGGACATCTTGTGCACAGGATCAGAAGAGATGGGTGGCAGACGGTCTATCTAGTTGTGTGGACATGTGTAAGAGCAGGAGCAGGACAGAAAATTGTGTATGGAGAGAAAGCTATCCAGCTCTATGGGCATTTGTCAGGGATCAGAAGCAAGACAGAAAAGTGTTTGCAGAGATATCTATCCAGCTGTGTAGACAAGTGTGAATGAACAAGAGCAGGACAAAAAGGTGTGCACACAGAGATCTATCCCGCCATGCAAACATATGTCAGTGAACAAACACAAGACATGGCTCAAGGAAGGGTTTAACAAATGTTAACAGAGGTTAACTATTGCTTATCATAAATGACTTTCAGTTTATATTTTTACTTCTATTTAACAAGCCTTTTATGTTGGCTTTTTTTTCTGAGAAACGGCTGCTGAGATTAAGAGCCAGGTACTTTTCTAAATGCCAGGGGCAAAGCAATTATCTGCAAAATAAGATCCTTGAGTCTAGAGCTCACATTCCGGTCAGTCAATAAATAGGACAGACATCAGATGGTAGTGAATGCTACACCAAGAGCTTAACACAGTAGTGTGACTGGACACTTGAAGATGACTTCTTCAGAAGGGCTGGCTTGGATAAGGATCGGTTGTGTGAAAACAAAGGGCAAAAGGAAGCACACAATACAAAAGGGGCTGCAGGGAGAAGTGGGTGTGGGCAGGGACAGAAGGCCCTGAGGTCTGAGTCCAACAGAGGTGGTGCTGGGTGTAACACACCAGGTAGGAAAACCTGTGAACCTAGGAGGAAAACTGCTATCTGTGGTACAAGGCACTAAAGGATTCAAACACACATTTTTAAAATGTAAGAAAACAGAGCAAAGCATCACGGTGTACACCTCTAATCCTAGCTAATTTGGGAGGTTGAGGATATAGCTCAGCCGAGAGTACTTGCTAAGCACACACATGGTTGATTCATTCCCCAGCACCACATGGGGGGAAGGGTAAACGTTAGAGGACAAAGAGCAGGAAGAGGGGCTACTGTTCAGGAGGCTGTGTGTCACCCATGACACAAAAGCTGTGCTGAACCCAGCAAGGCATTCATGTATGGACCTTCAGAGGCAGAGAAACTAAAATTGAGGCTGAGCAAAGAAAAGGAATTAAGGGAAACTCCAGACAGGTTCGTGTGGAGCAAGGCTGTGGAGGAAGCATCCTTCTAAAAAGGAGAGAGATCAGGGAAGAAGTTAGTTTTAGAAAGAAAATCTATTCTTGCCTTAGCCTGTTAAATATGAAGTATGTATCAGACACCCAAGTGGTTTGATGCTGATGAAAATCCTTAAGATTTTGCCGCCTCATAGATTCCAATGAACTACATCTTCAGTGGTCCTCTTCCCCTTGAATCTGGGTGAGCTGAGATTGCTTCAACCAAGGCAAGGCAAAGGAACTGATGCTACACTAGCCCAAACCTTAGGAAGCCCAGAGGCTCAAGGTTCTTGTGAGATATCACACAACTAAGGCTTCTGGCTGACTATGGTGTGGAAGGGCCGTGGAGGGAACCTGAGATGACAAGAGGCAGCTGTATTATGCCAGTACAGTCTGGACACTGAGGGACTGTCTAGCTGAATGCAGCCACAAAAGTGACCACCAGAGACAAGCAAATCAACTGCCCCAGGAAGCTCAAACCAGACCACACTCTTGTATACAAATAAGATGGCTGTTGTTTTAGTCCACTATGTTTTGGAGGCAGCAGTAGAAATCCAAGTGAGAAAAGAAATGAATTGGTTACCCCAGAACTAAGGATAACTGCGACAGCGTCTGAGGCCACCCAGCAGGCAAGTTAGCACTGATGCTGAGGACAACAGCACACCTGTTTTATCTTTAGGTGAAATCTGGCCCAGCAGGGCTGTTATGGCGTTATCTAGATGTGCCCCCAAAGCCTCATGTGGTCATAGGTGGGGCTTTACAGAGATGGCTGGATCTAGGGTGTGTGATGCTGAGATTAAGGGTGTGATGCTGGTATTACGGGAGCCCCACACTGGGGGCACCACCAATCAATAAATTTACAGCCTGGATAGAATATAAAGGGAAAAGGGAATGGTGCTTCTGCTGTTTCCCTGATGCTGCTGATTGCGGCTTGTTGCTTTCTGCCTGCCACGCCATGAACTGTTTCTCTTCTGTGGTGCTCCTCTGTTATGCTGTGAGCCAGAAGGACTACAGCCTAAGAGCCAGGTGACTATGGATTGAGCCCTCTACAAATATGAGCTAAAATAAACCTTTTCTCCTTTTAACTTTGGTTGTTGGGCATTTTGTCTCAGTAATGACAAAAGTAACTAAGACAAGGACTAACTTCACACCAGTGAAGTCTAGGAAACATGTGCTTCATGTGGAGGAGAAAGCACAGTGTTCTGGTTGCAGGAAAAAAGAGCGAACAGCCTCAAACCTCTCCTTCACACATCTCCATGAGGTACACAACATATATAAGAGAGTCATGAGTATTTTACCAATGTATCTGTCCATGATGTTCTACAATATTAAACACACGGGTCAATCAGTTCATAAATACATAATTGCTTACCCTGCTTGTTGGCAATGCTGTTCCACTGTGAACATCTCCTCCCAAGTCAAAGGTTGTCTCCTGAACAGTTCTGTAAAGATTAAAAACAACAACAACAAAAACACCAGATAATTAACTTTCAACAAACAGGACAAAGTCTCTTCTGCATAAAACACAGGAAACAGTTTAGCTAAATACACCAGTGTTCAAAGATCATCCAGAAATTGTTTTACAACTGGGTACACTGGCACATGCCTATAGTCCTAACTACCAGGGACAGGAGGATCACAAGTTTGAGGCCAGCCTGGAAAATTTAGCAAGACCCTGTCTCAATACAAAAAAAGCTGGTCATATAGCTCAATAGTAGAGGTGCTTGCCTGCCTAGCATGCGCATGCCTAGCAGTTTTGGGTTCAATCTCCAGCATCACATTAAAAAATTTTTCAAACTTTAAAACAATTGCTTTATTTTCACCACAGAAACTTACAGCATTAAAAATCAAAGCAACTGTAAATTTAAGAAAGTTTCTTATTGGTGTACATGGAACACTTTAAGAATTGTATTTTTTTAAAACCATCTGTGGACAGGGTAAAGGTAAAGGGGACCACAGAGATGAAGAATCACCTTTCTGCTGATGGTATATCACTATTTAGACTACAATAAGGAAAAGGGAAGCTTTTGACAATGTTAATAGTCAAATCCAGAGCTATCTTAGTTTGAACAATTTTTTAAAGTATCTCAAAAACTTCTAAATGAAATAAAACTACATCATTAGAAAAACAACTCGGAATATAAACAAAATCTCATTTTGAAGAGTAAAAAAGCTGAGGCAAGTTACATTCTTTAGCACAAATGAAGGCTGAATGCAAACCACTCATCTCAAAGAAGGGAGAAAAAAGACAACTAAAGCCACCTAGAAACCAACCAAGATGAATCACTGGTTAAATTTCCTGGACCACTATGCAGGACAGTAAAAAAGAATGACGTATCTTTTGTTCTGATATTTCAAAAATACATGGTCTAATTTTTTTTCATGGTCTAATTTTTAAAACACCCTGGTACTTTCTTAACCTCAGTCTACAGAATGAAACAAGGAATGATACAGAAGTTCAATTTGTCACATCAGAAAAGCAGATACAAATTCTTCTTACCCCATCACTAAGCAAATAAAACTATCTTACAATGAAAAACAATACTATGCTTAAATAGTAACCTCTGCAAAGTAAAAGCTTTCATTAAAGACTAATCAACTTTCTGCACACAATTTTATGCATTATATGAAGTTTTAATAATTAAAATACTTGTCAAGATATTCACAAAAATATGGAAATACCCTGCCAGCTCCTATTAATTTAAATGAGAGATTCAGTTCAGCTGTCTGCTCTCAGACAGTGGACATAAAAAAATGCGACAGCTCACCTTCTGTCAAAGACACACATAGGTTACCATCCCTAACTTTTTCTTAGGGATAGTACACAAGTATAACCAAAGCCTTCTCAATTCTTTTTTGTAATTAACATGCTAGAGTAAAAAATTTACACCACTGCACAAAGCTCCTTAAGTTTTCTTTACCCAGTGCTGCCTCTTTTATGCTTTAATATGGGCTTACTTGTACTGTACTCTGGCTGTGTGAACAGGTCTAAAGTGACTCTGTATATTGCTTCAGTGTTACTGAATCAGGACCTTTGACTATAAGAAGCATCTCCCTTTCTTCAGCATTCAGAGCATGGTAATACCACATGGTATGGGTGTTCAACGGACACAGAAGAGATGCACAAATATGAGTCTCAGGGTATCATCTGAGGTCCCTAAAATTCCCAAATTAAAAATTAGCATTAAACATAGCTACCTATTGGTAACCAAGCCCAGGAGCTTAAGGTAGATTTTGAAATCTGCACTTTAGAGTATGCAGAATTTACCCAGAAATTGTTTGAGGATCTGACAGTAGACAAAATGGTTGTTAGAAAAGATTTTTTTCTAATTTATGGATGATACATTCAAGCATTACATTGTGTTCAGCAGCTCTGCCAGAAAAACATGTGAACAGTACAGTTTCACAACATTCTCCTGACTGAAATCTAAGCCATAATCTTATATTCTGGCTAGGAATATGGTAAGAAGAAACAACACTTGATTTCCAAACAGGAACCATGTGGCAAAAGTACAGTGAGAGACTAACAACTCAGATACAGAAAAACGTCACAAAGTAAAGATGAAAGGCTGATCACGTATGGAACAAATTGTGCCTACAATTCCATATATACCCAGTAGCAGACATAGTCAGAAATATGGTAAAGTACAAAGATGAAAACAGATTTAAGTGCAGAAATAAAATGCAACTGTAACCATGAAGCCATAACTGCAAAGATCAAAACAGACTTAAGTGCAGAAATAAAATGCAACTGTAACCATGAAGCCATAACTGCAGGCATTGCTGAGAAACAACACACAATACACCAGAAGGAAACATTCCACACAAGAGGTTCTTTGGTCAGACCTGAGCAGCACAGGGGCAAGCAGGAGGGAAGGCTGTGATGTGGGTATGCTTTATCCTACCCAGGTGTCAGGTGTAAAGGGAAGACAGGTGTAAGAAAGGCTGACAATTCAAACAGAACATTTGAACCTGACTCCATGTGAAAACAGAGCTAATTAAACTAATGGCAGGGACAGCAAATAGAAGAATAAAAAACAAAACTTTAAGAAAGGAATACTTTAAAACTGGCTGTCCCACACATGTACTGCAAGAATGAATGTACAGTCAGTTTAAAGATGAAACAAAGAGAAATGAATGGGTTTTCCAATGTAGACAGTAAAGATGCTTGCTGGTTTTCTTTGGGAAGTTATGAGGTAGGATCATGTCCTGTAGCTCAAGGTGACAGGCTTAGCCCATGAACACTGCAAACACCCCTTTGCCTAAAGGACTATATATGATACACCAACTGTTTATCCTAGAGAAACATGTTAGTTCTAAATAGTAACTAACACCTGGCTCAAAGTGTAAGCTCTGGGTAACAAAGGTTAAGTCATAGAAAAAATAACAGGAAAAGTCATGTGGAAAAGTCCAGTAACATACTGATTTGTGACAGAAAGCTTATACTTCAGTGGAGTTATTAGGTCATTTTAAATACCATGAAGAAGGGCTGGGGATTTAGCTCAGTGGCACAGCGCCTGCCTGGCAAGCACAAGGTCCTGAGTTCAATTCCTGGTACCAGAAAAAAACAAAAAATGCCATGAAGAAAGAGTACTGCAGCTATCTTTTCAAGATCATTGCCCTATCAACCTGTGAAACAGATAATAAAGTGGCTAATAACCCTTGTTTTTAAAATTATCATTATCAAAAGAGAAGTCATTCCTCCCCACAAACGTCCCAGGAAGTGGCCACACTGCAAGTCCTCACCAGAGCACTAGGTGGAGCTAAGTTATTCTAAAGTCCTCGAGACTGGTGTATTTTGTGATCGGTTATAAGAAAAAAACCAAAAAACTTCAATAAAACTTCAATAAAATTAGTATTTAAACTTTCAATTTCAAGATGAAAATAGGATCCTTCTTTTTCCCTATAAAAGTCATACAAATAAACAAGGATAAAAGTCAGTCATGAACACTACTTTGACTTTTAAAGAACTGAAACAAAAAGAGCCAAGACATCTACAGCTAATTCAAACTACTCTAAGTATACTCAACACACTCTAAAATCGTTAAGGCTGCTCTACATCATATTCACCCAGGTTTGTGTCGTGGGCCCTTGACCATCAGTCCTCCATCCACAGATCTCTTTGTGAGGCTGTGGTCCTGGCTGGGGTCCACAAACTTGAACACATGCGATGCCCCAAACTGCACTTTCATGCCACTCTGCAGCATGGTTGTTTCCGAGATGCGCTGGCCATCCACATAGGTCTCTGCATCCATACTTCTTGGCGTCACAGTGACCACTCCATCCATATTGGTGAGGTCACAGTGATGGGGCTGAATTCCTGGGCCAAACAACTGAAAACAGAAGGAAATTAAAGACATTCCCATTATGCAGTGCATAGTATTTAAAAACAGAAATTAAAAATTCTGAGTCTCCCTTTTGTAATAAATATAATTTAACAAACTCTGGATTTTTGGAGCTTTAAGTGGACCGCCCCCATCCAACAGGATACAAAAAAAATACAATGAATATTTAAATTTTAAAAAAACTTATTGCAGGAAAAGATACATTGCTACGAATGATGGGGTAAGAGTGTTTGAAACAAGGTGGAATATTTTGAGGGAAATTAACATGCTCACAATGGGGACATAATTTATGTGTCTTACTGCCAGGTGGCTTGAACTACTAATGGCACATGCATGACTGTCCTATTCAGCTGGTTTTTAAAATTAATTTTATTACTAAAAAGACCAATAAAAGTGATGAGATCCGTATGTACCACAGTGGTATAAGATGCCTGATGGGACAGTCATGCATATATCACCATTGGTTCAAGCAGGCAGAAATGTGTTAATAGCAGTATGCCTTTTCCTACAAAATGTTTTCTTAAAAGTTTAAACATTCAGTGTATTTTTGTCACACCTTAAAAAATAATTAAGCACTATCAAAATAATGTTAAAATATTTAGACATTGTTTCTAGCATCCAGTAATAACTTGATTTAAGGCATATTCCAACTTTATTAAAAAGCATATGATTATGCCTGCACACACTTCTCATCCCAGCACTTGGGAGGGTAAGGCAGGAAAACTGCCAGGGATACAGACCAGCCTAGGGTACACATTGAGTTCAAGGCTGGCCTGAATTACATAGCAAGACTCTGTCGAAGGAAGGGAGGAGGAAAGGATGGGGTGGAGGGAGAGTTGGAGAGGGGAGGGGAGGAGAGCTGGGGAAGGGAAGGGGAATGGAAGAGAGGGGAGGGGAGGGGAGGGGAGGGAAAGGGAGAAAAAGGGCGAGCAGGCAAGCAATAGAGCAAGCAAACAAGAGAAAAGCACATAATCAAGGTAAGAAGAACAAGAACAAGAAAAAGGCATATGATCAAAGTAGGTGTGTAGTGTAGTAGTAAAGCACTTGTCCACCATGAATGAGGCCCTGAGTTCATCCCCAGCACCTAAATGTAAAAAGTACATGTTCATGATGATCTTAAACATTTACTACATAATTACTAAAACAATCTACACAGATCTTTGATTAAAACATCTCTATTTAATCTGTTCTATTGCTGTGCTAGCAATTAAGGAATCAGAGAATTAAAAACCCTATAGTTTTACAACTGAGAAACAAGTAAAGAGCAAAGATGATTTACCTGAGTTCAAACTGACAAATACTGATTTCACATATTCAAAACAAGTGTCAAGCTCTGTTTCAAACACTTGAGAATTTTATTTAGCTAGTTCTTATCAAAGACCTACTGCTGTGTGTCAGACTCACCAAAAGAACTTCCCCATGTTAAAGCAGACCTATGAGCTGCTATCACCTTCTTGGAGAGAAAAGGTAGAGCCTGAAGGAGTGTCACAGCCAACCCAAGCTTCTGGAGGGTGAGCTCACCCTGTTCTTTTCACACTAAAGCAAAGTGATCCAGAGTAAATGAACTATTTAAAGTTAAATGCAAGGCCTGTAATTTTGATTTATTAATTTGTCCCTTGTGGCAGGTCCTCTACTTTGTGCTGCCTACTGAACATGTAGAACTACAGCAAGAGGTTCACACGGCAGCCTGATAACGCACCTGGATAGAGTTGTCATCAAACTTTTCTGTCCCAACTTCAGTCACACTCAACTGAAGGCGGTAAAGCTTTGGTTTGTCTCTGGAGTCAGAGCCATCTGCGAGGAGAGAAGGAAGAGAGCTCCATTTGCAGTCTAATATCCCTGTCACGTTACTCAAAATAAACAAAACTTTATTAAAAATGATGCTACCAGTCTCACTTCTCAAGATTTCTTTTAGGGAACATGCCAACTTACATCATACAGTTCAACAAACTGCATACACAGTCTTCAAAGAGATATATATATCAGCTTCTGTTTAATAAGGTGCTGAGACTGTTACTAATTCCAACATTTTCTTACTACATAAAAGTACACTTTCTCTACATGCTGCTCTGGATCTTTGTTGATGATTCTGAGGTGCAAACATATTAGTAATATGAGCACCATGAAGGACACGTTCACCTTCACAGCACAAAACAGCTGGTGGGACATGGTGAAATCAAAAGTGGAAGTTCCTAACTGTGGAGTTCTCACAGCACCCTGGACCTCCTGGATCACCATTCAAAGAGGACTAGGCAGATTTTTTCTGAACGCTTCCCCCAATGACTGACGGTTGAAGAAAAAACTGCTGTCCAAGTCCTCAGCTCCCTGGGATAGCAGCGGGATTAAAAAAAGGAAGACTGTGTTTGTTGGGGTGTCTGGCACTTTAAACCTTTCTGAACTGTTGGAACTTTTCATTTTCAGGAGAATGACTTTCTATGAAGGAGAAGAGGCAGGAGGAAAAGAAGAGGAAACATCACTGCCTGGCCTCTGACTATAATGATACTGAACATGCTCACTGACTTCTCAGCCACAGTACCCACGTAGTACAACAGGGTGTCCAGTAATGACTTCTCTGATTTTGGACTTGATCTCGCCTGACAGAACCCAAGAATTCTGATACAATTTCAGACTTTAACTGTACCACAGTAAATACAGTTTCCTTAAAAGGCAATTGAAAGTCTCCCTAACCTATTTCACGAGTGCCCACGTAACTTTCAGAGTCACTTATCGAAATCAGTAGTCAATGGCATTAGGTACGTAAGCTATGAGAACCTCAGAGGTTAAACATTTTGAGAGCCTTAAGCATGTGCACAGAGTCTGCCAAGTTCTCTCAGTCCTGGTGTGTCTGAACTCTAAAGACAAAACACACCATAACTCACAATTTGTTACAACTGATGTTAGTTTTTAGAGTAATACAATGTAGTATTCTAATGACAAAGATTTCTATTTCTGAATTATTTCAGGAATCTGTGACATCTGGGGAAAGGAAGAGATGACACTGAAGTATTTCAGACACCAACGGCTACCATCACCAAAAAACTGATTCACTGTCCATGTTGCTTCTGTTGGAACATTCATTTTCCATGCTGTTATAAAGTCCTGATACAAATGAGACATCAGAATCATCTGGGGCTTTTTGTGAACATGGGCAGTTCCCCCCTCCTCTTGGAATGTCCACTATTTTATTTGTTTTACATACCATGGCAGTTCTAATCAACTACCCTCTTCTATCTCTCAGAGTGCCATATTTACTGTATCACAGCAACATGGACTACATTTTTCGAAGACTATACATTCTCTCCCTCACCTTGGAGCTCCACGTGACTAGGCTTTCCCTGATCACAGCTTTCAATGTGTGGTCCACACAATAAAAACTTAATATGCTAATAGGGACTAATTACAGTGAAAATGAAGAAAATCAAGTAATACAATAGAGTTACACAGAAACTACACAAGTTATAAAGAAACAAAAGGAGCAAATAAGTAACCATGTCTGTAACAAGATAAAATTATTTCAATGTAAAGTTAAAAATATAAGAACATGAAGGAAAGATATGTTTGTTTGTGGGTGAAAGAAAATTTCACATTAGTATTTCTCTGATATCTGAATGCCACTGAAAAATCTGCCGGGAACTAGTACAGGGCTGTTAAAACAGAGAAATATGAGAAAAACGAGGGTCACATGCCACTTTCCCAGTCTCCCTCCCTCACCACTACACTGTGATAGAAAATCTGAGATAAAGTGCGTAGACTGCAGACCTAGCGGGGAAGTGCCAGCATCAGCAGGAAAAAAGTATTTGGTCTGTTAAGAGTGGGAGAGGCAGCAGTGCCTGGTGCCTCCTGCCCCTTCTTGTGGCAGGCCAGCCCCTCACCCCAACTAACAGCAGTTGATCATCCACAGGCACAAGCAGTAAAACCCCCTAAACACACTTTCCCAGTGTTTTCCTTTCCTCAACAAGGCTTCTGCCCAAGTACCTAAGCATTTTTCTTCCAATACAGAACTACAACACATCTGGAGCAACTTTACAAGAGACAGTTTAGAGTAACCCTACCACTGACACAGTGCTTCTGCCAAAGTGGTGCCTTTAACAGAGTCTCCTGCCTGAGAAGTTTGGAACCAGAACTAGGTAAGACTTCAAATTTTTAATTTCTTACAGCTATAGACACATTGCCATTATTTCCCCCTCAAAATAAGAATCCCCTCTTTGAACATATCCTATCATGCCTGCCACTTTCTGAAGCAGTTCTGGAAATCCTCACTAGTGGGTGGTTTTAGTTACACTGTTGTGGTCGCCTTGATGTACTCAATTCAAAATGTTTACCTTTCACAGTCATTTTGACTTCAGGGATGAGCCAGAATGGTGCTCGATCCAGTGAAAAGGTGGATAAAAGCACACTGTAATGTTCTTTTATGTCTGCTTTTCACTACTTGAGGGTAGTGCTTGGCAGCAGCATTCACTATATTTTTAATCACACCTCATAAAGACACTTACAAAAGGGGATTCCAGAACTGCTTCAGAAAGTGGCAAGAGGGCTGGGGATGCAGCTCAGTGGTACAATGCTTGCCTAGCATGCACAAGGGCCTGAGTTCAATCCCCAGTGGCAACGAAACAAAACAAAACAAAATAGAACAACCCCAGAAAGTGGCAAGAACAATGCAATAGGTGTGCTTAAACTGAGGGAGAGTACTCTGAGGGGGATTAATGGCAATGTATCTTTTAATATAATGAATTTTAAAATGTGAAGGCTGAGGCAGGAGGATCGCTGCAAGTTTGAGGCCAGCCTAGGCTACATAGTGAGTTCAAGGCCAGCCTGAACTACATAGTGACACCTTGTCTCAAAAAAAAACAAAACAAATAATTAAATAAAAATGTAGACATTCATCTATGTACCTTGATCTTATCTCACACACCTTACACACACAGCCTTCAGGCAGTTTCCTACATACATGAACTGTGCCTGTGTTCCAACCACAATCTATTACATGGGGTCAGGTGTGGAACTTTCCACTTCTGCTGTCTTGTTAGTGCTCAAAGGTTTCAGATTTTCAGATGAGCGATGCTCTGCCTGTATTCTCAGGAGGAAAGGGAAATACAAAGCTTCAACAAAGGTAGGACACCTTTAAGGCACTTTGTTCTCACTCTACAACAATTTTGTCACCCACTCTTTTCTGTGTACAGCTGCTTCCCAGGGTAAACAGAAAGTCAGAGCAGCAAAATAAGCCTACAGTAACTGAAATGAATACTGGACATGAAACTCTTCATAGATACGTATAAAGTAACAGTACACTGAATTTTTCATAAATCCATTATCTGGTCAATCAACATCCTTTTTCTCAGGAGGTCTGCTAGCACCCCAGTTACAAAAGTAGTATTAAGCATAGCATTACCTTCATAAGTGTGATAGCTGTAGTAGGCAAAGTGACTCCTTCTCCCTGGGGTTAAGACACATGCCAGGACCCAGGTGAAGGCAGCATCAGCAGGACAGAGACCATGCAGAACACGTGGGACAGGGAAGGAGGAGAAGAGACGCAGAGGGTGAGCTTCAGTGAGACATGTCTCAAAGGAAGAAAAGGTACATTTTACCCGTCAGCTTTCAGAGCTGTGCGGACAAGGCTACAGTAGTGCCCCAGTCAGTGTTTTAGAAACCAGTGCAGACTGTTAAGGAAAACAGCAGGACAATAGGTGAGTTGCCAAGCAATAGGACAGCAAGAGGGAGTTAACCATATAGAAGGTTACCAACCCACCTGGCTGACTTCTGCTTAAAGAACACATTCAGATCCAATGCAAAGAACAAAGCAGCATCCTGCTCCCATTCCTCTAAAAGACAGTGTAAGCACACACTCACGTCTCAGAAACCTCCTATCCCACCTGGGCAGGACCTCAACACTAAGAAAAGGTACCTGGCTGACAATGTGTCCAATGAAAATACTGCACAATTAGATTCACAATACATCAAATGCAGAAATATTTTCTCATAAATGGAAAATAGATGGATTTCATTCAGCACGCTTATTCTGCGTGGTTAATAAAAACATCTTAGTGAAAGGACAAGGCTTTGGTGCTAGAAAGCGTGCTGCTGCCATCTAGCATCTTCCCACACCTACCTAGAAGTCTACGTACTGATTATCTGAGAGACTACAATTACAGAATGAAGAGCCAAAACAGAAATTCTCAATACAGTGTGAGATCAGAGGGTTAATCTGCTTTGTCAGTGCTCCATCTGTAAGGCCTAGAACAATGTCTGACACAAAGTAAATACTAAGTATGTGCTGAATGAATGAATGTTCAGCCTGTTTCTACTAGCCATCAAAATCAACTTTCAATTATTCATTTCAAGATCAAATGCTGCTATTTATCAATCTGCTTAAGAACTATACCCTTTAATCTTAAAAATTTGGATTTGAAGAAAACAATCATTAGTTTCCAGCATTTAATACAAAATTTTAAACGACAGATCCAATGTCCAAAAAAGCTCCTAAATTTAAGTTCAAAAACAATGGCTGTATTACTGTTGCAGTTCTTTTCCTCAAACAAAACCCCTTTCCACACTGTACAGATACACCACACTACTGAGACATGCTTTCCAACTGCAGTCAGAAACTGAAACTTCACATGAACTCCCAGTCAGAGGACTGAGGGGCAACACAGGACTCCTATCACTCAGAGCTACTACCCAGGGCTACTCTGGCAGCACTGTTCATCACAGTAGCATTAAACGTAACTATGCCATTCTATATTAATGTAACCCAACTGTGTCATAAGACTGTTGGAAACTATCGAATTCTTAATTCTAATACTCAGCTGTAAGAAACTAAATCAATCTTGGAAACAGAAAAACAACACTGAGGAGTCAAAGAAGAGAAAAATAGCTCCTGTTCAAGGAACAACATATCCATACAACTGGCTTATCTTTAGACTAGTTTTTCTGTAATTACAAATTGGGCCTTATTTTAAATGTAGTTTGGAGTGGGAAAGATGGCATATTATTTTCGTATCAGGTCACATAAATATTTTAAAAAAGAAATAATGTGATTTTGCTGAATGATAAAGAAATATGCAATAGATAACAAAATGTAAATATACATTATCCAAGGATATATGTGTGTATAAAGACACTTCTCTAAGAATATCAATGTATTTCTCTACCTGATTGCCAACTTATGATATCAACTTAAAAGAGTTCTCCAAAAGATATATGTACAGGCCTAATACAAAAATAAATTTAGTCTTATTATTTAAAAGATCAAATCGCCTTCCACTTACTGTGAGGGATTTCTTAGATGTATTGTTAAATTTAAAGGCATTTCTTCTGGACATTTTCATCAATTATAAACAATAATACAACCCTTCCCACACATGCATGCTTCTATTAAATCTGCCTTAGAAGAATAAATTTTAGTTTTTTGTTTTTAGTAGGTTGATTATTTTGCTGAAGTTATTTTATTTTGCTTTTTTTGAGACAGGGTCTCGCTATGCAGTTCAGGCTGTCCTTGAACTCACTATGTAGCCCAGGCTGGCCTCGAACTCATGGTGATCCTCCTGCCTCAGCCTCCCAAGTGGTGGGATTACAGACGTGTGCTACCATGCCTGTTGTTACAGTTATTTTGGAAATGTTTTCTTAAAAGGAAATAGATCACTTAAATCTCTCTTAAAACACTCTATACATCATCTTAATTTTTTTCAATGCAATTTTGCCCTTGAGAATCTTATTCTTAAGCATGAATACACGTATTACATGACCATAAGTTTTTTTAAGTACATGTCATCTTATGAAAGTTCCTTTAAAAAATAGTCTAAAACTATTAAGTCAGCCAACAGGACAATTCTAAGATGTATTTAACAAGAGAAACATTAAAAGCTAAAAGTGTACTCTAATAATATTTGCTGGTATGACTAGCTTTCTCACCTGGGCTTAACTCTACTAAGTAGGGCAGTTTCTCAGGAGGAAGAGCAGAGCCGTAGCCAGACCCATCAGCTCTCTCCTTCCCCTTCAGTGGCTTTCCTTCACTGTGTTTCTTCGTTTTCTTTGGGATGTAGTCCAGCGGCCTCCTCTTCAACTGAAAGACTAAAATCCCTAGAACGGTAACATTGGGAATCATCAACCAGATAGGCAGGTATGGATGGCAATCCATCCTGACTGGCAATCAACTGCTCACACATAACCAACATGGAATTTATTAGCATCTGCTGAGAAATAAATGAGTAAAAGCTCACCCAATTTATACTTTCACTCAATGAAGGAGTGCTCTAAAAACTTCAGCAAAGTATTTGCAAATATTATTTTTAATTAACAGTGAGCTACCAAAGGACATCATGTGCTTGAAAACAACATCAGGTTAGGAACAAATGAATCTTACCTTTCTAGATAACCCTATGATCAATGCACATATTTACACACATATATATAATGCACTCTCACAAATATATATATATAATATATATAATATATATTATATATTATATATTATATATATTATATATATTTTTTATATAATATATATATATACATAAACACATCTTATTTGACCTGATTTTTATTTAATTCAATTAACTCAGAATTCAAGGCAACACAAACTGAAAATTAAAAAACTATTTCATCAGTTTTAAACCTCTACTGCTTTGAAATAGAGGAAATTGTTTGAATAGTGCCAAGTATGACTTCATTGTAAGTTTAGCATCCTTAATCCACAAATATGCAATGTGATATGCCATAAATTCCAAAACTTTTGAATGGCAACATGTTACAGATGGAAAAATGACCTCATGTGATAGATATCAGGCATAATATTGGCACAGTACAAGTAAACTACGAGCTAAATGCATAAGGTGTGCATGAAACATAAATGAATTTCATTTTTGGACTTAGATTTCATCTCCAAGATATCTTACTATGTATATGCAAATATTCCAAAATCTAAATCCAGAATCTGAAACACTTCTATTACAGATAAAGAACACTCAACCTGTATCTGAAATGCCTAAATTACTGGAAATCTTTAGGGTATTACTTCCCCACCATAACAAATCTGTCCAAATTTTACAACAGTTCTGGCCAGCATCACTGCTGAGAGACAATAACCTTTCACTGTTGGTGTGGCTCCTTTGTGAGATGTGATTTCTACCTCCAGTGTTATTATCTGAGCAAAGTCTGTGCACAAGAGTCAGGGAGCTGAGTGTGGCCCTACAGAGAGTCACTGAAGAGACACCCCAGCAAGTCTACGTAGGGGGAAACAGTACAGCAAAGAGCTATCAGGAAATATCAATGCTCAACATCTCTTACACGATCTGATAAAAACTGGCATATCATATAGAAATTAGACATACTACCTATGTAATCCTTTAACAAGTACATGTACTCTTTACCTTTGTCACTTGGCCATTCCCTAAAGATTTGTAAAGGACACTCATCATCATCCAGAATAATTTCTTTAGCACCTCTTTCATCAGAGTGTTGGGCTCCAGGAGGAAGCATAACCTAAATGAAAAATAGTCAACAGTGAGTAAACCTAAAAATTAAATTAGCAAGTATCTAAAGAACTTATGGTTTTTGAATGAATAAATAAGACTCTGTAGAATTAAAATGATGAATCACTATAAAAAATTCCCACTAGTCATCAAAACAAAAATCAGTAAAATTGAGGCAACAGTTTCAAACAAAAAGCTCAGCTAGCTCTTTTCAAAGGTTTTATTCATTTGACCCTTAAGAAGAACTAGTCTATTTTTATTTACTTACAACCAATTTGTACATGGAATGACTATAATGATCAACTCTTAAGTAATTTCTTAAGGATACGTCTTTATTGTTAATGTTAATTTCTCTAAAGTGCTTTCATATTTTATTTCAGCAAAATAAAATAACTTCAGCTTTTCAGGTCTTAATACACTTACTACAAAACAAAGAGCATGGTTCTCCTTGTAGATAATCTATCTTTATGATTAAATTTTAAGTAGACCTTTTATATGCACTATATGACCATTCAAAAACTTTTTAAGCAACTGCTTTAACAATTTTCACTGCACTTTTAATTAATGACACTACGCTGCTTTTCTCTGTGTTTTTATTGTAGCCAAACATTTTGCGCAATCACTTAAAAAAGCCAGAAAAAGACTGCATTAGAGAAGTGGACAAAAACACGTGCACTCTGCAGAGTGTGCACTATCCCCTCCTCATTCTAATCCAGTGCCAGCACAAACCGCAGCACGGTTACAGAAAACATGAGAAACCAAGTCATTGTTTCCAGCCTGCAGTGAACATAAAAGTGTTATCTTAATAGACCTTGCAAGCAAAACCTGTTGTCAGGCACAAAGGCCAAACGGACTGGATGGTTCTGTAGAACCCAGCTATTCCTCTTGACAGTGTATTAAATACTCTAAAAAGACCAAGTTGGGGCTGGGGATTTAGCTCAGCGGCAAAGAGCTTGCCTGGCAAGCGCAAGGTCGTGAGTTTGGTTCCTGGTACCGGAAAAAAAAAAACCAAAAACCAAAACAAAACAAACAAAAAAAAAAAATAAAAAGACCAAGTTATTATACCACACTTTGTGCTAACTTAATCTTTCTTCATTAATGCTTTGTATTAAATTCAATCTTCTTGCTTAGAACACATATTACATCAGGATCTGACCTCAGTTCATCTCTTTCATCTCAATCTTTGTCATATATCTTCAGAGCCATAACATATGGAAGTACTCAGGATCCACAGAGCAGGCACACAACTTTCTACTTCCAAGATCCTTCTGGCTACCTCTCGCGCCAAACTAGTGTCCATGCGTTCTGCAGCTCAAAAACAACTTCTCCATCAGCCTTCATTGACCTCTCTTCCAGTTTACACGTCCTTGTTTGTGTTCTACTTCTTAGTTTTTATGTCTCCCTTTATCATAAGCTCTTTTCAAGGCAACTCTTATTTTTGTATTTCAGCACAGTAACTTACAAATGGGAAGACTTTGAGTATTTATGGAATAATTAACTGAACATATAAAATAAAAAGTGAGTGAAGAATGTGAAGCAGCCTCATTTCACGAGGCAGCAAACTAAGAAAATACAGCATTTCTAACGCAGGGTAAATGTACCAAATAGCTCTCAATCTCCACTGTCTAGGCTTGTCGAGGCTTGCAAAAAAAATTGCTCACAAAATAACAACAGCAGAGAATCAAAATTCCTAAAAGTGTTTTAAGGAGACTCCTAAAAGAAATCAGTACATATTGTAGCCTCAAAACAGACTGTTAGTAAAAGCCCCAGGTAGGTTTTTATAACTTCAAAATCCTGATCAAGGCCCTTTACTTTTTTATTTTCATTAATAAAAATCAGCTACAAATTACTGAAAAGAAAAAAAAATTGTTAGAAAGTTCATTATCACATACCAAAAGATATGCAATCTTAGCAAACTGATTGTTATCTGATAGCTTTATACACTGAAACAGAAACATTCCTCTGGCAAACACTTAAAACTGCAGATATTGTCAAAGATTCCCCTCCAGGTTCATAACTCAATGTAGAACACAACTGGGAGAGGATTGGGCCTCTGTCTGTGGACCTAATTATTCTATACATAGTATTTCATAAAGCCCAGCATTAAAACAGGAGTCTCTGCTGGGTATGCTGGCACATGTCTGTAATCCCAGCAGTTGGGAGGCTGAGGCAGGAGGATCACTGAGAGTTCAAGGGCAGCCTGGGCTACAAAGTAAATTCAAGGCCACCCTGTCTGTCAGTCTCTCTATATAAATAAAATAAGACTCTCCTCTACTTCCCACTTATTTGCCGAGAGGAAAATGTACCAGAATGTCTTCCACCTTGAGTATTTTTCTTCGCAGAAAAAAATATAATATGCTATGTCTGATACCTTCCAGTTAATACCAACCTGCACCTCAGTCGGTATTCCTCTAGCTGGTTAATAACACTATTGTCAGAAAGGAAAAGGGGTCCACTATCTCTTAACAAAAACTTGCATTTTGTATTTTTTTTTCTCCTTCCAATCAATTCATCAGCAAGTACTACAACTTTCCACTCCTGAGTCTTCCTGTTCTGGGATCACACACAATACAGCTTCATCCTGATGCCTGTACTATAGCCACTTCTAGTTTGTCAATTAGGAGATCACTTACAATACTGCACAGTCTCACTGGCACTCTGCTCCACTGTCATCACTTTTCCTATACTCTGTTCATGTGCATTTAAACAATTTTGTATCCTTTATTACAACTTTAATGTGAGGAAAACATCTTTTCTGTCTTTTTCAGCTGAAAATTGGGCTGTATTCAAAAAATTATGGATCTATTAGTTTTTCAAAATGAATGCAATTTCTTAGTTTTTCAGGAACAGATAAAATCCATAAAACGATTGCAAATTTCTTTATTTAATACCACCAGAGGCCACGCCTGGGGAGGCAGGCTGCAGGCGCCCGCTCCGGGAGGCTGTGTGGCTGGGGAGCGCAGGCCCCTCGGGGCCTGGCCCACCCAGCTGCGCAGGCACCCAGGGAGGCAGGCAGGCCACAGGCGCCCGCTCCGGGAGTCCATACAGGTGCTCAGAAAGGCAGGCAACAGGCACATGGGAAGCGGCATGGAGACCTCCACCAGCCCTCAGGCTAGCTGCTGCCACCGAGTCAAGAAACGCCACGCCACAGATAAGCACTGACATGATAGGCCCGCCCAGAGACATGCACGAACCATCCCAACATGGAGAAACCTCTGGGAAAACATGCCACATGGCAGGTCGCTCTTGGCCCTGCCCTTGAGAGCCAGAAAGGTCTGGAGTCAGTGGAGAAGCAGCTGACGAACAAGGACTCGGGGAACATGAGAGTAACGACGTCTGATGACTCAGGTTGAGCTGACTGGGGACCTGGGAGCCATTTGGGAGCTGGAAACCAGGAGGACCTTGTGCAATACCTGGGGAGACCCCCTGGAGGCCATTCTTACCCTAACTGTACAGGCCGCAGTGGAAGAGTGAGTGGAGCTCTGGAGAGGTCTAGACCGAGACTTCATGGATTACATGGGTGCCCAATATTCAAATTTTGAAGAACCGCCTTCACAGAGAAGGTATGTTCGCTGCCTGGGACACTTTGCACCTGATGGTGCTGAGACTGACTAGCGAGCCAAGGACTTTATCCACATGCTCCTGCTGCCAGTGTTGACAGTTGCGGAGAGGACACTAAATGGTTGTGGGGTCCCAATGCACTGGAACACTGGAGAGAACACCTCTCTGCTTTCTTAGACAAGAGGCACTGATAAAGCATACTTCCCTGGATCCCAGTTTAGTAGAGTGACAAACTATTCTTACAGATAAGTTTATTACTCAGTCAGCCCCAAGTAGTAGAAAAAAGCTACAAAAAATGGCTTTTGCACCAGATAGCTCGTTTGAGATGTTAGTTAAGAATTGCCTCCTCAGTATTTTATAGCCATGAGGAGGAGGAGGCCAAGGAGAGAAAACAAAGAAACCAAGAAAAAACAGCTGCCTTTGTTGCAGCACTAAGAGAAACAGACCCTAAGTCTGATTCTTGGGGCCCCAAGAAGAACTCGTCGACTACATTCATCTGCTACCGCTGTCAAAAGCCAGGCCACCTCAAAAAGGACTGCCCTAAGAAGCTCCCTGGGCCATGCCTTGACTGTAAAGGTAACCACTAGAGGTCAGACTGCCCTTTGAAGTGAAGGCCCCAGAGCTCAGACCCCTCCTACCAGCTGGTCCAACAGGAATGAAGGGGCCCAGGGCATACTCTGCCTTCTCCCTCTGGCCAGACCATTATCCTCAAGGAGGAGGCCCGTGTAATCATGACTACAGAGGAGAAAGTAAACGGCCTATTGCTGGACACTGGTGCTGGTCTCTCAGTCCTTCTTTTCAATCCTGGCCTTCCTTCCAGCCGTCACACCTCAGTGAAAGGAGTCACTGATGAGGAGGTTATCCACTATTTTTCACAATCCTTAGGCTATAACTACTTGTTAGATCTTTCTTGCATATCTTTTGTTTTCCTGAGAAACCAATTTGAAGATACCAACATGTATTATAGCAGCCACTGATAATTTCCTACCAATCTGTCCATAACTCTGTAATGCTTCTATTGTTCCTATGCTATTTTGTAAATGGATGTATGTTTATCACTATGTGTTTTCCATAACAACCATTGAGAATGATTATTTAACTGATCACTCATGTATAGCTCTATCTGTTTTCCCTAGAAACCACTTTGAAGAAACTATAGTACAACAACCATTGATAATTTCCTACCTTTTTTGTCTGTAACTCACTATTATTTGTCTATTTGTTTTCCTGAGAAACTATCTTGAAGATATTAATAGGTAAAATAACAACCATTGATAATGTCCTACCACTTTGTCTGTAATTCAGTAAATCCCCCTATTACTATGTTATCCTTCTTTTACTCTTTTAAATTAAAAAAAAAAAAAATACCACCTGTAGTTAACAAGAGATACAAGGACATTTACACTGAACTCTCTGAAACACTGTGGAGACAACTCAAAGAACAGTGTC